AAATTGTATATGGGACATGAGTGGGACAAGTATTCTGATTTCCAAATTTCCGTCCCGTTCTCCTTCCCGAGAATTCCCGTTCCGATATCACACACATGTGTGACCACGTATTAATGATATCACGTAATCATAAACTTAAAAAGAGTCTAATGACATATCAAGTTTTGGTACGTGATACATAGAGATTGTTTATAAAATATGACTATGTGGTATATATATATTATACGCATCACTTTTACATTAATTATGGTTTAGGATATAAGATTTCATCAAAACAAAAAGGTAAATTAAGAATGATGGTGATTTAAAGGTGGATAAAGGGTATCTATTAGTTGATAATCAAGAATTATTGTAAAGAAATGATGATTAGTTAGGTGTTTAGGACCATTCTCACGCCTATATTATGCAATTTATATGTAGGTATGTATTGGTGTTATTAAACATCCACATCTTGGCGTAATAAAAAAATGTACATCCACATCTTTTTTGGTTCTTACTTCATAGTTGATTGGTGCCTCTCTCCAAATATATGTCGAAATTTGTGCAAAGATGATTCGTATACATTCAAGATAACTCAATATTGCAATAATTAAATACAGTATAAGTAATTAAAGTTGTTAATTAAGATCATATGCAGAACATATACTACACGCTAACTAGTTTTAAATACGAAATGAAGTTGTTAAGATTTATAATATTTTAACTCCAATTATTTAAAAACGACTTGGAACCAAGTGGTGTGGTCGAGTGTTGAAAGATTCTCTATGAATGTCTTTTTTTGTAGAGTTCGAGTCCTACTACAGATTTAATAGTCTTGTCCACCCGTAGACATTTTGAATGGCAAGAAAATCGGTATAGATTTCGGAGAATTAGTCTGCGTTACGGTTAAAAAAAGAACAACTCAAAACTGAAAATCTTGATCAGAAATGGTATTTTGTGATTCGTTTTGAGCATTAATGCTTATGGGACCTTTGAACACAACTTTTCCATTTTCTTTAGATCTTTGATTAATGAAATTTAGTTTCGGGAATCTGACCCCATCACACATGTGCTTCTTCTTCTTATGTAGAGCCATCAATGTCTATTATATACTTCCTCCAGTTCCAT